TCTATTCTTTCTATTCTTGTATGATATCAGTTGACAATAATATTAAAGCGGGGTCTTCTCGGATGGGTCCCACTGGTCAGGAAGGTTGTGGACCCCAGGGCTGACCTGGGACCTCACCGACACTTCATTTTTCCAACATTAGCGGCCTGAGATTCAATTTTCCTTCTTTGGAGCAACAACTATTAACCTCTTCCCCCGACCTCTTACTACTATCTAAACTTCAACTGACCAAAGCAGCTTCACCCAAACCTTTTCAAGTCTCCAACTACAACCTTTATAACTCTTTCCGTTCTAAGGGAGTTGACCGTACCTACTGCAGCACACATACACCAATAGCTTGACTCAAGGATCTTTATTCTTCTCTTTATGATGCCATCTGACTCAAAGTATCTCTACCAACTATGGCTATTTTTCTTTGTTTCCTATACTCATCTCCCAACTCTACCAACTATTTAGAACTCTGACTATCTCACTTATTGCCATGAGTCGTTGCTATCCACACACCCCAACACCTAGATGCTCTACCTAGGGGATTTCAATGTACATCACAGAGAGTGGCTTGGCTCAGCATGGGATGACCCAGGTGGAGCTGAGGCACTCTCTTTTCCTTACTTATTGATCTGGAACAATTGATTAAACACCCTACACTTGTTCATGATCAACAAGATCAACTTGCTAACATTCTTGATCTAACCCTTCACACTATTCATATGCATTTCCGTCCCATAGGTCTTCTGATCACAATCTTATTTCTATAAATCAAACTGGGCATGACCCCCCCAACCCCACTACCCCCCCTAAATGCCAACTATGGCACTATCAGAGTGCAAACTGGCAATCCTTGTGAGAATTCATCTCCGACTTTCCTTGGAATGAATGTTGCTTTTCCACTCAGGGTGCCTCAGTATGTGCTGACAGCATTGTTGGGTTATACAGGGTGGTATGAATGTATTTATCCCATCTTTTACCAAAACTTTCACTTTACAATCATGGTTTGATCGCTCCTGTTCTTTTGCATGTTGAGAGAAAGATGGGCATAACAAGTTATGAAGCTATCTCCTCCTATTACCCACTCCTCTTTCACTACTTTTAGGAATCATTGTAAAGCTATTCTTCATAGGGCCAAGTGGAATTTTATAAAATGAAAGACCGTTGTCCCGACTAACTTTTCTTCTAGTAAATCCTTCTGGTCCAAAAACATCTGTAATAACTTCTGCACTTCCTCTTTTCCTCCTCTCTTCTGACATGATAACTCTATACCCAACTCTACCCCTGGTAAAGCCAATCTCTTTGGCACCTTATTCTCCTCTAACTCCACCTTAGACGATTCCAACTCTATCCCTCCTACGCCTCCTGCTGAACCTATGCACTTTACTATAATCTGCACTCGTAGGGTTGCTGGTGTGTTATCCAGATTGGATGTGAGTAAGGCGCATGGACCGGACGGAATACCCCCTCCACCCTCATGTTCTGAAGGAGTGTGCTGAAATTCTAGCCCCCTGTGCTTGCTCGCCTCTTCTGCCTTTGCTGCAAAACCCAAACTTTAACTTCTTTTTGGAAGCATGCCTTGGTTCATCTCATCCTGAATAAGGGTGACCATTCCAATTCCTTTAACTATTGCCCCACATATTTAAAATTACCTCATCTCTCACTTTTTAATTAATGAAATTATATATATATTTTTTATTTATTCAGGCAGCAGAAAAGATGTTAAAAGCAGCCTTGTATCTTGTGGACCGGGACCAAGCAACAAAATTCCAAAGGGGTGAAGCAGGTCACTCACTAATTTCCATATCAGAACATCTTACATCTAATGAGGCAAAGTTTGTAGCAAGAGAAATGGACAGCCGAGTGGGACATCATACCCAATTACGCTATCCTTCTGCTCAAGGTTGTCCCTGTGACCGCTACACTGATGATGATTCCACATACATGTTAAGTAAGGCAGAGGAACTAATTGAATTGCTTAGACCTTCCTTTGTAAGATGAGGAAAATGAATATTCACGGATGGTAAGATTGTAAGCTCTTTAGAGAGTAAAGTCACTAAGCCAATTAGACATGCCACAATGTAAGAATAATGGCAACTCTGTATGCAAAAACAAATTTGCTTGTTTTGAGGGGTTAGGTTTCACAGGCCTTCCTCTTATCTGATAAATCTAATGCTGTGCCAATCAGTGGCCCTACAGCATCTTTACTTATGCATTCATGTAGCTTTTATTGCATTTATGTCAAACTTTAGTACCTGTGGAATATCTGGTACAGTAAGGCTTTTTTTTCATAATATGGGATATAATTTTGATTCCAAGGCTCTTTTTCATAATATATAATTTTGATAAAGTAACAGAACTTCTATACAAATGTGTTCAAAATGATATCTTATAAGTTCACTTGTGTCATGTCATCAAAAGACTTACAATGATATAAAGTATCTTAGATCTCAATGCTATTTATAAATTTAACTGTTATGAAGAAGTATTTGGATATCCAGTATTGACAGATTGCTAACAAAAATATTCAATTCTTTGTAAGTTTCTTAGGTCTAATATTTTGATAATAATTATTAGCCTTTTGTAAGTTATCATGGTGATCTACCTTGATATTGAATACTTTATGAAGATATTTACTTTGTATTCTGTATTACTCCTTAAAATTTAAAACTAGTAATGAATAATAATCCAATATTGACTGGAGTTAAAATTTATGTAAATTTCATCAGCACACTTTCTTTTTAAATTTGTATGTGGAATGCATGATTATATTTAATTTTTTAATTGTTTACTATTGTATATACAGCATTTTATATGTACAGTATAAACAATGTAACTGAAATCATACTGTAAAAGATAAAATGCAGAATAAGAGCATTTTATACATATCTTTAGCACTGCTGAAGATGACCAGAGGTTGAAGAATACACCGTGCTCTGTTTTATTACATAATTTCTGCAATTACATGTACGGTAGTTTTAATTATAAGAGATTTCAACTGGCAGATAATCTGGAAACAATCACAACGATAGTGTTTCTGGCACTGTGTCTACCAAGCAATATTGGTACAGTATTTAGTTATTATGCAGTTTTGAGCATTAATAAATTGTTTGAACTCTTAAAGAATACTAAAGTTTTTGTTCCTCCCCAAATGACAAAGAAAGCTATGAGAATATAAATTTAAAAATAGTATACAAAAATGTAACTATTCACCTGATCTGATTCACATTTTTGGTTAAAACTATTAATCCCTGTACAGTAAACCCTCGATAACTCGGCATTTGATAACTGAATTTCATATAGCTTGGCACGGATATGGCTATGTTATATTATAACTGGGGGAATAGTGAGATACATAAAATTATCACTGGTAAAATCTTGGCATATCTGGCCAATTGCATCACCTACCATACCTCTGTGTCACCCCTCCTATCATGCTTCGTTTTTCACCTGCAGTGCTGGTAAGTGTTACTTTTTTACATTTAGTAATTACTGTACATGTATGCATTTCATCTTATTAACCATCCTCCTTTAGCTGACAACCTTTCTTTCCTTTCTGTTCGCCAATGTTGCTTCACTCTCTTTTACAGGTAATTTAACGGGCAATGTTCAGTGGATTTGGCATCCGATGTGCCGCCAGCAAGGCCGTAGCCCACGTCTTGCCCACGGTGCCCACCATTTCTCTGTGGGTGTCGGTCACACTAGAATAACCTGTTATAGTACATCCTTCTATCCTCACACAGCCAAACTGTGGAATGCTCTGCCTTATTCAGTGTTTCCATACTTATACTGTACAATGTTTCACTTTAAAAAGCTAGTTTTCCAGCACCTTTGTGGTGTAGCTTAACACACTATAACCTTTTTCTTTATTTTTAATTTCTTTGTTATTATTTTTTGGTCCTCTAGGCCCCGTTGTGGGTCGTTTGACCTTTGCCCGTTGTGCCCGGGTGGGCTAATTCCCGTAAAAAAAAAAAAAAAAAAAAATCTGTGGCGATAATTTTTTATTGTTGTATTTTTGTGGGAGGGGGTAAGTGCTTCGATAAGTGTTCAGTGGGAACACGACAAGGTCCGAGCCCCATATGTGCCTTTGCTTCAAAACTCAAACTTTTCCTTCTTTTTGGAAGCATGCCTTGGTTCAGCCCTTCCCAAAGAAGGGTGACCATTCCAATCCCTCTTAACTATTGCCCTAACTTCATTGCCTCTTAAGATTTTCAAAACTATCTTAAACTCGCATTTTCTCCGTCACCTTGAAGTCCTTTTTCTTTTGTAGGATCACCAGTTTGGCTTTCATCAAGTGAGATCAACTGGTGGAGATCAACTGGTGATCGCTCTCCTACTGCACCCATCCTTGGTCTTCTCTTAGGGATTATGGGGAAACTTTGTCATGGCCCTCGACATCTCCAAAGCATTTGACAGTGTATGGCACAAGTCTTTGCCTTCTAAACTTCCCTCTTATGGTTTCTCTCCCCCACTTTGTTCTCTATTTTCTAGCTTAATTGAGAACTGATCCATGGCAGTTGTTGTCGATGGATCGATATCTCACTCGTTCTCTACCAATAGTGGTGTCC